TGAATGTTTCCATGCTGAACAACGGCAACATGACAACGTTTCCATTGGTCCCTCTTCTTTAGAGAAGACCAGGAAATGATGGATACACGGATCGTGTTCAAATCAATAGGCACGCAATGACTCTAAAGAATAATGATCACGCACCAAACACACATTCAGACTAAAGGAACCAGCTGTTTGGAAAATGTGAGAAGTAGAAAGTACAGGTATTTGTGTTCAACATGTAAGAAGTAGAAAGTACAGGTATTTGTGTTCAACATGTGAGAAGTAGAAAGTACAGGTATTTGTGTTCAACATGTAAGAAGTAGAAAGTACAGGTATTTGTGTTCAACATGTGAGAAGTAGAAAGTACAGGTATTTGTGTTCAACATGTAAGAAGTAGAAAGTACAGGTATTTGGGTTCAACATGTAAGAAGTAGAAAGTACAGGTATTTGTGTTCAAAGTGTAAGAAGTAGAAAGTACAGGTATTTGTGTTCAACATGTAAGAAGTAGAAAGTACAGGTATTTGGGTTCAACATGTAAGAAGTAGAAAGTACAGGTATTTGTGTTCAACATGTAAGAAGTAGAAAGTACAGGTATTTGTGTTCAACATGTAAGAAGTAGAAAGTACAGGTATTTGTGTTCAACATGTATGAAGTAGAAAGTACAGGTATTTGAGTTCAACATGTAAGAAGTAGAAAGTACAGGTATTTGTGTTCAACATGTAAGAAGTAGAAAGTACAGGTATTTGTGTTCAACATGTAAGAAGTAGAAAGTACAGGTATTTGTGTTCAACATGTAAGAAGTAGAAAGTACAGGTATTTGTGTTCAACATGTAAGAAGTAGAAAGTACAGGTATTTGAGTTCAACATGTAAGAAGTAGAAAGTACAGGTATTTGTGTTCAACATGTAAGAAGTCAAAGTCAAAAGCTGTCTGAAAAATAAGTAGTGGAGTAAAGTAATGAAAAATTTACTTAAGTACAGTAACAAAGTATTTGAACTCCACTTCTTCCCACCTCTGTTGGCTGGGCTCCGGGAACTTGAAGTTTCTGAACCAGCTGTCGTCGGGGGCCGGTGCCGGGGGGTGCAGCTCCTCCCAGGCTCTGGACAGATCCTGCAGGATGATGGTCTGCACCTTGGCGTTGGGGTTTCGGGAGGCGCAGAGCACCAGCTGGGGCTCGGGGGACGTGGGATCGGCGTCAAAAGTGAGCAGGGCCCTCCGGATTAACATGTCGGCCTCCAGGAGGGCGCGGACCATAGCGTGGTACCACTCCATGTCCTCCTACGATACAACACGATAACATACAAGTACAATGTTGAAGTTCATTTAATAGAGCACTTTTCCAAATGCTCAAAGCGCTTTACACCACATATTACACATATCAGCATGTAACAGTGAATACAGCAAATTAGGGTGAAGTGTCTCGCCCAAGGACACAAAGTTATGTGTACTTTTTACTTAAGTACATTTCGAAGCCCATACTTCTTTACTTTTACTTGAGTAAAGAAGTTTAGTCAGTACTTCTACTTTTACCAGAGTATTTTTATACACAAGTATCTGTACTTCTACTTGAGGATAATCTCTGACCTGCACTGTGCTCTCCCGCAGGTCGCTCGCCTGGAAGATCATGTTGAGGAAGTTAGCCGTGTTAGCGAGTGCGCCCAGAGCCGGTCTCAGGGGGGCGCTGAAGCTGGGGGGCAGCGAGGGGGCGTTTTGTCCCGAGAGACTGAACGCTCGTGAGCAACGAGAAACCTCCAGAGCCGAGGAGTCTCCGGAGTACAGGAAGCTCTCCGCAGGGGTCCAATCATCTTCCTGCACGGTGGGGGGGTCCGAGGGCGTCACAACCCCAGAAGGACCAGAGGGTCCGGAGGTGGAGACATCTGAGGGTCAGAGTTCAACACTTAAAAGGGCTTTTGTACAGTGAAAGAACTGAAACGTTGGCTTGAATTAAATGTATTATGTCTACATATTTCACGTAACTGTATCAGGTTAGTTGAAAGCAATAATATTTAGTTTGAATACAAATGTTTAGGTTCAACTTAATATTATTGCTTTCAACTAACCTGATACAGTTACGTGAAATCTGCCAACGTTTCAGGTTTTTTGTGTTGATAGGTAGAAATATTGTAATTGTTTTGTCACAGCAGCATTTTGAAAGTCAATGTCATAATTACAAAATGTCTTTAAAAATTATTTAAGATAAATAAACATTACACATTTTAAATTAAAAACGAAATATTCTCAGTAGAAAATACATATATTCAGAAGGGTATCCAAATACTATAATACTCAATATATCAATCTACTAAAGGGACAGAAACATGTAATCATAGTGTGCTATATAAATAAAACAATTGTCGCAAACAGTTAGAGATATGCAATGGAAACCTAAGTCACTGCAGGCTCCTCCCACAATGCTAAATACATATGTACAAGACATAAAACAGTAGAAATAGTGCAAGAAGAAACAGCGTAGAAATAAATGAGTGCAAGACTAATGTGCAAGTAAAACAGAATAAGATGAATGTAAAATAAAATACTGCTTATTGTAATAACAGATATACATACATGGTCCTGTGCTGTTGTCTGCCTCCACTGTGACTCCTGGAGAGGAGTCTGGAGTCTCCTGCGCTTTGAGGAGGGAGGAGAGCAGAAGAAGAAAAGGAAGCCAAACAGGAGCCATGCTGAATTCACTCTGAAGAAGAAGGGGAAGAAGAGGGTCACACGTCTAGACCAAGTTCTCTCTTTGGCCGCCTTCTTGACTCCTTTTCTTCAGTGGTGTGAAGTAGCTAAGTACATAAACATAACGTAAGTAGGCTACTTCTCCTCCACTCCAGTTCAGAGGTAAATGGTGTACTTCTACTCCACTACAATTCAGAGGTAAATGGTGTACTTCTACTCCACTACAATTCAGAGGTAAATGGTGTACTTTGTTGGTGAACACTTTTTTCGTGTTCACCAACACGAAAAAATGCGAAAATCGTGTTGGTGAACACGAATCAATAGATTAATTTAATTTCGTGACTATAACACGAAATGCCGTGAGACTGTGTTGAATCTGCACATTGACTGACATGTCGCTACTTTCACTATATTTTGATGATAATACTTTTCTACTTTTACTTGAGTAACATTTTGAATGCAGGACTTTTACTTTAACAGAGTATTCCTACACTCTGGTACTTCTACTTTTACTCTAGTACAAGATCTGAGTACATCTACTTTTACTCAAGTACAAGATCTGAGTACTTTTACTCAAGTACAAGATCTGAGTACTTCTACTTTTACTTAAGATCTGAGTACTTCTCCCACCTCTGCTTTTTCTTAGTTTGGAGAAATAAAGAAGTCACATGTTGGCGGATGTTTGGACTCTCTCCATCTTCTCACCAGCGGCGCGGCAGCGGCAGGTCTGCGGCGCGCACACGCGGAGCACACAGCCCCATCTGTGCCGCGCACGGACACACGCAGGCTCGCACGAAGAGATGTTTAAAGCTGCTTTTCCTCGGTGGTGTCTCTGCTTCTGACGGTGGGAGGAGGCGGGGGACCGGGAGAGATCCCCGCATCTTCCGCAGTCCGTGCGGTGAAATCTGCCGCGTGCGGTGCCGCTCCGTCTCCGTGCGCCAAATATATCCAAAGCAAATGCAGCGTGTGCAAGGAGGCGGAGGCGAAGAGGGAAGAGCCTCAAAGTTATGGGACCTCGGGTTTTGGGGGGAGGAGGGGAGAGAGTGTCGTAAGATCGAGGGAGGAAGAGAGAAAGTGTCCTTCCCTCTTCTTTTTCTCCTGTCTGCCGCTTCTGCTATCTGTTGCTCCAAAGAGCCTAAAGCCCATCTGACGGAGGCTTCTGATGCTCGTCCATCCTCCCTCTCTCTCTCTCACTCTCTCTCTCACCCCTCACTCCCTCTCTCTCCCTCTCTTTCACCTCTCACTCTCTCTCTCACATCCTCCCCTCCCCTTAATTCACCCTGCACCTCCCTCCTTTATTTATATCGACAGGGACGCTCACCAGTGCTGAAAGGTGATGAGAGTGGTACATCTGGTGTGTGTGTGTGTGTGTGTGTGTGTGTGTGTGTGTGTGTGTGTGTGTGTGTGTGTGTGTGTGTGTGTGTGTGTGTGTGTGTGTGTGTGTGTACACAAGATGATGCAGTCAGTCACAGATAAGGGTTAAGCTCTGCTGCATTTGAACGTCCATCAAGAAGAATCTCCTATACTGGATGGATTAACCCCTCATATGGGGAGAGTCTTTTATTACACACACACACACACACACACACACACACACACACACACACACACACACACACACACACACACACACACACACACACACACACACACGAGGATATCATGCAACAACACATTTTCGTTTGATTATCGTTGTCGGTGTTCTGCAATGTCAGGGAATCCCCCCTTGTGTGTGTGTGTGTCGCAGGGGCGGACCTAGTACATTTGGTGCCCTAGGCGAGCTTCACCACTGAGCCCCCCCCCCCAAAAAATATCAAAACATCTTAACAGTTATACAGTAAAGTACTGCACCTTTATTTATTACAAGCAAGAACAAAAGCTAAGAATAAATGTAAAGTGCACACTAAAGAATTAAAACAAATAAACAACTTAGCTAACAAACAATAATAATAACAATAACAAACAATAAAATAACGTGCAAATTTGCTTTAAAAGAAAATTATTAGGGCTGTCAGTCGATTAAAATATTTAATCGCGATTAATCGCACATTTTGTATCTGTTCTAAATGTACCTTAGAGGATTATTTTTCAAGTTTTTAATACTCTTATCAACATATGAGTGGACAAATATGCTTTATGCTAATGTTTATTATCATTTGAACAATGACAAATATTCTCATGAATATTAAACACAACAACCTGGAACCTCTCTCATACAATAATACAATACAAATGGTGTGTGTGTGTGTGTGTGTGTGTGTGTGTGTGTGTGTGTGTGTGTGTGTGTGTGTGTGTGTGTGTGTGTGTGTGTGTGTGTGTGATGGATCGTTGGAGCTATGTGCAACTCAAGGCATATGCTCGAACGGGAGCTGCCTGGACGCTGCAATCATGTTGCGCACTATCCGTGCTGAGTGTGCTGACTTCTCGTACAATGCCCCACTGTCTGGCTTCCTGCATAAAGTCAAGTGCTCGGCGCAGTTGTGGCGAAATGTCGCTCCTCTGTTTTCATTTAAACAGCTCCATATCCGTTAGCGCAGCTAGCTGCTAACAACAACAATGCACGTAAGGTCTCTCTCTCGCTCGCTCGGGCCACACACACACACACACACACACACACACACACACACACACACACACACACACACACACACACTCCCGGTCCTCCCAACAGCCAGTCGGTGCCTGCCGGTGAGCGTGGAAGTGTGGTCTGCCACAAGCGGGCGGCAGGAGCGGGGCTGTCAGCATCAGCTTGTAGACGGTATTTTAAACTCGATGCTCTCTGAAACTACGGGGCGGCCGAGGAAAAAAATACACATGCGTTAATCGCGTTAAAATAATTAGTGGCGTTAATTTTTGTTTGCGTTAACGCGTTATTAACGCGTTAACTTGACAGCCCTAAAAATTATGTATTGTAAAATATGTTACACATGTCAAATAATCAAAATATAACATGCTAAATAAACAAACAAATAAAAATGACAAATTCACTTTGTCTCAATAACTATTTACATTCCACTCCCTATCATCACACAAGGTTAGCCTATTAGCTCCTACTGGTTTGCATTTACAGTGCAATCCACCAACCTCATGGTTAATACTGATTACAGCCAGACCACTGAGGCGTTCTTGAGCCATGGTTGACCTCAGGTATGTTTTCAAGAGTTTTAATTTGGAAAAACTCCTCTCGGCTGAAGCTACTGTTACTGGTAGCGTTGCACTGATCCGCAGAGCAATACACAAGTTGGGATATATTTTGGTGAGCTGCTTTGTGTGTATGAATTTCAACAACTCAAGAGTTGTCATGCTCTTTGATGGCCAGTCAGGTACATTTTCCAACTCCTGAGCCAGCTCCTTCCCATCCAAATCAGATTGCGCTCCATGGCTTAAGGTGTGTGCAAGTGCCTCTGCTTGCTTCATCAGCTCTTGGTGTGGCAGGTCTGGGAAGTTGTACAGAATGCCAAACTTGTCTTGCACATGTTTAAGAGTGGTAAACCTCTCCTTTTGTGCTGACACTGCAGCATCCACCACCACGTTAAAGAAGGTTACCTCCAGATTTTGCAAGGCATCCCTCAATGGCTCATCAGGAGACTCATATGAGAAGTGCCTCTTTGTTGACTTCAGCCGCTTTTGCACAAGGACTGCGTCCACATTCATGTCTTCACACATGTCCTTGGCTGATGTTTGTGCAGCCACAAAGCCTGTGGCTCTGTAGGATTCGAGAGTTTTTTCAGTCTTTTTCAGTAGACTTACTGCTACATTCAGTTGCATTGTTTGGGACTACAGGAGTTTGCTCACCTGCTGAATTTGACTTAACACGTCATACCAGACCACTGTGCACAGTGAAAAGCGGAATGATCCCACTTCTTCTGCCAGAGACTGGGCTTCAATCCTGATGATTGGGTCTTTGGCCTGGTTTCTCACCTCAAGCAGTGCCTCTCTCACAGCTCATATCGCAGAGGCTCCACAGCTTTCACTCTGCTCTCCCATCTGGTTTCTGACCACATTTTGAGTGAAAGGTTGACGTGTTTCTTGACGATGGCCCATCTCTGTGTCGAGGCAGAAAACAGGCAGTATAGCTTCTGCACAATGCCAAACAATGATATGGCATCTTTGGAGCTTTTGGCAGCATCAGCAATGACCAAATTGAGTGTATGTGCCCCACAAGGCACAAACAAAGCTCTGGGTTCAACTGCAGTAGCCTGGCCTGTACTCCCTTGTTCTTCCCTCTCATATTTGCGCCGTTGTCATATGACTGTCCTCTGCAGTCATCAAAGGCAATCTGCAACTCCTCCAGCCTCTTCAAAATCAGGGCGGACAAACTTTCACCAGTGGACTGCTCTGCTACTAGGAATCCCATGAAGTGCTCTTTAATCTGGGGGTCTTCTTCCAGTGTCACAATTCTGATGACTACTGACAGCTGTTCAGTGTGGCTAACATCCGGGGTGCAATCTAAACTGAGGGAAAAGTACTTGCATTTCTTTATTTCTTGCACTATTGTAGATAGAATCTTTCCACTGATGCATTCAATCAACTCATTCTGAATGGTTTTGCCCTAGTAGCTGTGGTGGGATGTTTGACTTTTAATCTTGTTAGTGTGGTCTTTCATCACTGGGTCAAACTGCGCCAAAAGCTCAACCTCTTTCAAAAAGTTTCCATTTGAAGGAGAGTGGAGTATTTCTGTCTTTCCTCTCAATGCCATATTTCGCCCTGCCAGAGACTACAATAGCAACCAGTCGTGTCAACACTGCTCTCCACCGACTCTTCTCTGCCTCAAGGAGGGCCTGCTCTTGTTTGTCTATTGTTGTACTTTGTTTTAATCGAACTGCCAATTCTTTCCATGACGCCAAATTGTTCAGGTGTTCCGGACTATTTTCATGGCTGGTCAAAGCAGCACTTGCATTTTTCCAATCCGACAGTCCTGCATTTGTTAAATGAATTTGTTTTGGAGAGAAAAGTTGACAACAAAAACAAAAAAGACTGTTCTTCTTTTTTGAATATGTCACCCAACTTCTTTTGATCCTTTCTCCATTTACTAAGGTCCTGCTGAAGTACTGGTGGTGGCAACTTCTCCCATCATCTCTCCTTGGGAAAATGAAATCAGGTGTTATCTGATATGGTCCTCTCTGAACAAACTCTGTCCTCATTGTGTCTGTGAGATGTGAAGGGCAGTCAGCAGGATCGGTTGGTAGTGGATCGTCTGTCTTTGCTGCATCTGGAGGGCATGTGAAGCACATTTTCTCACCTCATATTCACAATATCTCACACACACACACACACACACACACACACACACACACACACACACACACACACACACACACACACACACACACACACACACACACACACACACACACACACACACACACACACACACACACACACACACACCCCAAGTTGGGACAGTGTGTAAAATGTAAATAAAAACAGAAAGCAATTATTTGAAAGCAAGAGGACAATTAGGTTTATAGCTAAACATCTTTACATTCATCAGGCACACACCTGAGAAGAGTGTATGGGTGGAATCTGTGGTGCAATCAGGATGAGATGCAGCAGGCTGGTCTGACGTTCCTTGCAGTGGTTCTGGGCCTATACATATATAGAGAACACACAAGAGCAAATATATTGGCTGGATTAGAAATGGCACAACAGTCATTTTTACATTCAATTATTTATCATCACATCAGGAACATCTATTGACATATTGTACTCACCAGAACAAACAGGCACAGTGGTCAGTGGCAGGGTGGAATCAGTGGTCATCTCATCAGGATGAGCAGCTTGCTGTTCTGACATTCCTTCATGTGGTCTATAAATATAGAAAGAACTAGGGCTGTGCAATTAATCGTATTTTAATCGCGATTACGATTATGGCTTGCGACGATTATGAAAACAGCATAATTGACAAAATACGATTATTTTGCTGGGTGCACGTTCGCCCCTCCCTAAAAGCCCACTCGGCCACGTGGGAGTGACATGTGTTGTGAGTGTTCAGCGCGAGCGAAGATGTCAGAACAAGAGCAGCAACTCGTTAAAAAGAAGGGTAAAACTATTTCCACTATTTGCAAGTACTTTGCCATTACATTTCACATCGCTAAAGATATGTGCCCAGTTAGCACTGTTAGCAACCAGGGCTTTAAGCAACTTGTCAACACGTTGGACAAGCGTTACGCGATGCCGTCTCGGTATTATTTCAGAAGGTCTGCGCTGCCTGCACTATATGACAAATGCCGTGGGGAAGTTGAGAGATATGTGGCTTCAGCTGACTACTTTGCGACCACAACAGACCTATGGTCTAGCCCAGGGGTGCCCAACCAGTCGATCGCGAGATGTGTCTAAAAATAGAACAACAATATTCTGTTTTATCGTTAATGTCCTGTAACATAATCTTCCTGTGCCAGAATAATGCACTTGAACGCATCAAAGCTTTGTGATTGGCCGGCGTCACCCCATGTGTCGGGGCGTGGCTGAGGGTCTTCAGTACAGGTTGCAATATCGTCGCCTGCCTGCGCTCATCTCTGAAACCAGACCATGTAAACAGCCTGGTGTTTCTAGCAAAGCATCTTTAAGAGATGACATGAGCAGCCCTACCAGCATTTGCCATGGTGACCTAAACATTTTTATTTGGTCTTAAATTGTAGTTCAACATTTATTTCCTGTTACTTCTGGACCATGACGGTGGGCCAGCCTTCAACGTTTAACTGAGTGGAATATGTTGAATATGTTTTACCAACATGTTGGCTATATGTTAAGGAGTTTTCAGTAGGTTGTGACAGTGCACTGCAACATGTTTGATTTCATTTATTTTGGTCTAATTTATTTTTATTTATCATATTAATAATATATGTTTAGTATGGTTTTGGAAGTGCGCTCCAACACATTTGTTGATCTTGTTTATTGGTAAAATATTATTTGTTTTAAAGTTCAATAAATGGTCAATGAATAATCGTCAAAATAATCGTGATATCAATTATTGACCCAAATAATCGTGATTATGATTTTTGCCATAATCGCACAGCCCTAGAAAGAACACACAAGAGCAAATATATTGACTGGATTTCACATTAAATTATTTATCATCAGGAACATCTATTGACACATTGCACTCACCTGAGGAAGCCGGCACAACTGAGCTGCATGGCTGTTCCTTGTGAACTGATGCAGCAGGTGGTCCCAGATATTTTAAAAGTGAATCTAAAATGATATAACAAAATGTGTATTATCAACATTGAATAATTTCCATTTGTTAAATGTAGCTATTATTTAGTTAGTAAGCATTTGGACAGCCTGACAGGTCTGATTCAACTAATCAAGAGCTATGCCTATCTTATTAGAAC